CTGAACAAGCATTTACGGAGGTAGTTAAAAAAATCGAAAATATCATAAATTACTGTTGAGTCCGCTTGATGTTCTGTCTTGATTCACTTTTTTCCTTATAATCCAAGAATTTAAGACACTTCACTACGAACAATAGCTGGAAATGCTCGCAAATACAGATGTGCTGTGTAATTGTCACACCGGCTCTTTCTCTCCTTTCAAACGAACGTACGGCTATATTACGCTCCAATGGTAGAATACGTCATTCTTGGTACCCTCTGTCGAAATCATAGGCACCAGAGAAAATTCCTCGCAGTTACTGTTTAAATTTTATAAACCACTTTTTGAAAAACCTTACCTTGATTTATTGGAATTTCCGACTAAATCGTCCTTATAATAGCCTAATCTGCAAAATACAAATCCTGCGAAATCAAGCGGTCACAAATCACAGAATCGATCAACCTCTGTATGATAGCCTGAGTTGTTAGTTTCATTTCGGAAAGGAAAAATTAGGCGAAAAAAATTTATTCTTGGTTAAATAAACTTACTCCTTTACGTCACTGTATTACCGGGTGGTTCTATTCATTATTCCTATTATTTTATACTAATTGAAGTTTGTTTTCTAACGATTACAAATCACGAAAGGAGAGCAGACGAAATATTTTACTAAATGAATGAGAAAATGCAACATTGAACATACTGTCTGCGTGTAATATTCCAAGAGAATATGACTGTTCACGATGATTTTTTTCCTCAACACGGTGTATCACTGACTAAATATACACATTTATGAATTGCGATAGCTTTGATATGACGTTAAATGTGCTAATTGACTATCATTGGAAGTCACTGTAAGGTTCATGTAAAAATTTGAACCTAACTGTTTATATAAAACAATCTTATCATTAACAAGGTTGCTAGATGTTCTTAGAATGACTGAGATGCTACCAACGCCCTGATTGGTTAATCGCACTAAACCCATAGAAAATTAAGAGAAATTAAGTTTATTTTAAAATAGCACATCGGCTCGTGATTTATAAACTTTTCGAGCGTCCTCCTAACATCGGTAAACCTATAGAAAGTGCTTAAATATATGATATTTTTTTGGGCACAACTTTCAATGGAGAGATTAAAAAAAAAAGAAAAAAAAACTCCAACATCGCCGAGTTGGTCAATTATGTTCTACGCTTCGCGAGCAGAGTGAATTTTGAAATGCAATTGAGACAGGAGAGTCATGTCTAGACGATCCCACACGTTTGCAGCTGATAACAAAGTTCGTATGTTCAGCATATGTTCATTCCTTTTGTTTGACGGATTTCAGTGTATTTCACAATTCATCCCTGCATTTTCATGAAAGAAAACATTTTTGTGTGTTCATGACCCAAGTTTGACTACATAGTTCTTGATTTGGGGAAATAATTGACTAAAATCATTTTAATTTAGGGAAATCAAAAATTTCTTTTAATCAGCTGTAAATTGTTAACTTACATTTTCTGAGCCCATCCTCAGACACTTGTTTACGAAATTGAAGCAAGAACGAAACAAAAAAAAAAAGAAATAAATAAAAAAGACGAAGAACCCCCTAGTTCCTTTACACAAAGTTGCGTGATGCCCACAAAACACGTAAAAGCTGATGTGGGCTCTTTACAGTTGATAACCGTGCTCTTTGTACATGTCTTCGACTTTAATATTACTCTTGCTGACTCTAATTTATTCACGTTCGATATATGTTAACAAGGTCAGGCAGTCTTCCGTCAAGGTTTCTTGGAGTACTCAGTATTTATATTTCAGGGGTAAATTATTTTTGCGAGGATTTATGAGAGTCAAATCGGCCACCGAACATAGGGAAAAAAAGACAGGGTCACTTTCACGAAATAGAGATTAGTCTGATAAAAAAAAAACCAAATCTAATTCATCTACGATCTAATTTTATCTCCGATTTAAGGATTCCAGGAAAAATAAACAAATGAAGGTAAGTTGTTCGTTGCTCTCAAAGCTAGTCCAAAATAGTCATGGCAAAATCAGGAGGTACAAAGTGTCAGTAAGCTATGATTAATCAAAGCTAAATGCAAAGTTCTTCCATTCAAGAACTAGGTGACTTCACATGTCGTCTGGCCTTTGCCATTTATCTTTCAAACTAAATCGACAACATCGATATTTATATCTGATTTTCTTAGCAGCTGTGGACTTCTTCTGCAAATAAAATCGGAGCAAAAGCTCGTCTTCATTGCATTTCACGTACTGCTTGGAGAGTTCTCTGATCGTACCACTACCCACGTCTTTCCATTCAGTGTATGTGTCACGGCAGATCGCGTTATTATCCAGCACGCGCTTGTGAATGTCACTCATAACGGTGTTTTCTTTCTTAAGTTCTTCCAAGAGTCCCTGATGGTAAATGGAAACAAAATAGAAATTTCAGCAGCGATATAGACCAAGAATTAAAATTTTAGTCTGAAGCGTCACCTATCTCCCTGTCAGAACCCCCATGGGGGCACATTGTAAGTACTGGTACGAAATCTCCCGAGTGGTACCCTGTAAGCAATAGGAAAACGATAATCGGTGGGCATCTTTTTTGTTTAAACTAAGTACGTTATAGGTTTCAATTATGCCATCTTAAAGTCGCCTAAAATTCAAAATCTTTCATTTAATTCATTCATCTATTTATTCAGTTCTTCATTTTGCCTGATAGGAAGTAGTAATGATTTCCCAAGGAATGATGTGGTATTCGAGAAAGAACAATGGTAATGCAGGCAGTCTTGTATGCATCATTTTTCTCCACAGAAAATTCCCCCCAGTCTTTGCAGCTATGTACATATATGCCCTTAAACTTGCATACGTGGCCACTTTTAATAATATTTTACAATACTGGCTTTCCATCCTTGTTCCATCTCGGGTTTTATTTTCCCTTAGAACGACTCAGTCATAATTATCAATACCTGAAAGACTTCCACCAATATAATAGACGAAAATTAAAGAAGAAGTTTTGAAATGTTTGGATTTCCTACAAGCTCGAGGTTCATTTTCAGACTTAAAGATAAATTACATTTCAAATATATTTTTTTACGTATAGCTGTTTCTACAAAGTATCTTAACACTTTGATATATAAACAAACAAATTAGTTTTTTTTAAATCACAATCTTTATCGCTTTAAAAAAAAAATCTGTTTTTACGCAGAAATTTATAATGAAAGCTTGACCTGTCGTACTAGAGGTGATATTCCCGACACGCATTACAAGCCTACAGAACTTTGAACTTGAACTGTCACTTAGGCTAAATGATACCTGTCACTCACCCGTTGTCGCTCCTCCTGATGATCTGCTTCCTTCACCAGGTTGTCAAGTGATGCGAGCTGTAGATTCTGTTTGCCCTTTTCAGTATCAGCAATAATATTTCCCTCCAGGTCTTCCTTCTCGTAGTCGTCCCCTTTTCTTTTCATGTAAAACTTGATAAAGTTGATCCGACTTTTTTGTTTCTTCATGCTTGCCAGTTGCTGTGCGATTTTTCTCTGCAAACCGGCCATTTTCGTTTCGTACATTTTAAGACCAAGTATGATATCATCATCGCTGAGGGCTCTCTAGAAAGAGTGTGAGAGATCATCATCCGAAGGTAACAGTTATCTTCTAATGTTTTATTTTCACATGTTTTTTCCTAGACAATGAAGGAGGGGGGTTGGGGGCTACTGGCTTTCTACTTCTCATCGACTGCGCATTAGATCATTATGTCATAATTCAGAGCGAGTGAAATATTTCCCTCTCTTATCTTCTAGTCCTTCTTTCCCTCTAAAAATAAAGAGGGAGAGGGTTGGTTGGAGACAGAGGAGAAGAGAACGCTATAACTGGGAAGTCAGGTCAATACCTGAAAATTCATTCTTATCAGGAGCCCATAATTATGATAATAAACTCCTGTTACTGCATATTGATCAGACATGTCCCCTTTTTTAATTTTGAATCCTCCCTCGAGATATTTACAAGTACAGCCTACTGAATCGCCTTCCCGAATTAAAAGGTAGCAGTGAGCCTCACTCCCTCGTGATGTACTCAGGCATGGCACGGCTCGATTGAGGGCCGATTCCCTCCCCCCCTCCTTCACCCCACCAATAAATCCTTCTGTTACTCACGATTTACTTGACCATGCAAACTCAAATTTTAGTTGTTTAGTATCTGGAACAATTATCTCAACCCTTCCGGTCTAAAGAGAAAGCACGCGTTCCCTTATTTCTCGTGGTACTTTCCATCTACTCTTTGTCTCTAAAACAAACGTTGATATCTCGTGAATGACACAGCCGTTACGTGGAATTACATGAAACCAGTATGACTGAGCCTTGAAACGAAGCACAAATTGTCAATTTCTAACGCGAATATGTCTTTATCACATCAGTAGAAGGTACTTTGGGTGCATAAATTTACCTTCAATCGATTTCTTTCCATTGGCTTCTCATGCCCGTCTGTAAAGACAAAATGGAACTGCATAGAAAGCAGGGCAAATATGATTGTACGTGACAACGCCATCTTCGAAAACATAACTGGCACACAAAGACCTGTTTGTTTTCTTGTAACTTGATCTTTCGGAGAGACAATGAGAAACGAACACTCTTGGTTCAGAGGACGCTGGATTCTTCTTGTTGGGGCAACCTCAAGAACGTGCATAACAACAGGATCCCAAGAAGACAAATATCCTTCAATTGCGGTCTTCTGTAGATGTAAGACTTCCCAGATTATTTTCATGTCTTTGTTAGCGGGCTGTTATTCCATGAATACGTTCAAGGAGCTACATACAGTCCTTGAGAGCTCACTATATCAGTTATTTTTTTATGTATAATAAGAATCATTAAATTTCGGGCTAAAAAATTTCTCAATGGACCACTCGAAAATTGATCAAGTGGTAAAACAGGGTCATGCAGATCCATCAAAGCACTCGCTGATCATCCTATCGTTTTTGCCACCCGTGTTATCTGTAACAAGTATCGACTTGGTATTTGTTGCTATTACACGTCCTATTACGTGACAGACGCCATTTCAAAATGACCAGGCTATTTAATATTGTAGCCCTAACTGACGATTCTCATAGAGACGAGAAGACCGTTTTCTCTCGAGGTTGATTCTCAAAGCAGGGACGAAAGTCGATGTATCACCATCATGAGCATCATTCCGGTCACGCCGAATGTCCAGTCCACCATTATATTGTTACCGGCTGACTTAATCAACCCTCTTCTGTCATCAGCTGAGTCTGTCAAAGATAGGATTTCTCTCGACAAGGCGCACACAAAACGCTATTGTTGTTGTTGAAGATTTGACTGGCGATGATGACGAATTTCGCAGCTTTGTTGCTGTTTCTTCTACCCTTAAACATCTTTGAACACTCAGTTGGGATGCCGAGAGGAAAGCTACGATTGAAGGTAAGAGTGGATATCCGAGGAAAAGACATCACTAGTGCAGCAACACGATTCTTTACGACAATAAACCTTTCATTGACTTTTAACAACATTGCATGGTTTCGTAATACATAGAGGTATTTTAAAGAGGTATCAAGCAGTATCAGGAGTTAACTTTACCGATAAAACATGGGGCAACAAGCGATGCCCTTTCCTAACAATTATTTGTGGCTACACGGTCAATTCCCTTCACCTCCCCTGTTGGGTTAGCATGTTCCAAGCGTTCAGTTAGTAAAACGAAACGCGATAGTAAACAGCGTGATAGAAGCGGAGGAATGAAAAAAACGATGGAGGTTTGGGTCGGCTTGCTGACTGTAGCATTTTAAACTCTTTTTCGATTTTGCGATTTTTTCGATTTATAATTAACTTTTAAAAGCATCAGTTTTTGTGGTCAGATGAACACCAAAGTCATGGTTAGAAGCAGCTTGAGAGATATGGCCAAAGAGGAGTAAACCTTTACTCGGCATCATTGATTTCCCTTTCTCTCTCCTATTTTAATTTTACATTATTATTATTATTATTATTATTATTAAATATTTATCTGCCTTTTTTTTTTCCAGCGACAGGCCCCACAAAGTTCCGCCTTAGCAGCTTTGATGTCGTTCTCCGTCAAACTCTCTGACATGGAGCGACAAATAACATCCTATGAAAAGACAATACAACGACAGAAAGCCGAGATCGACCAACTGACAGCCAAGCTTGACTCCAAAGCTGATCGAGTTCAATTCAAAAGTTTGCAGACTTTACTGGACAGCAAGATGGTGGCGCTTAAGGACGAGACTAACACGAAGGACTTGCTAATCGAGCGATACCGGAATAAACTCAGTCAGCTGGATTCTGAGGTTACGGTAAGAGGTTTGAACCCTTCATTTCTTTATCAAGGTGCAAGGCCAAAGATGGGGATTGGAGAAAAGAAGCGGGTGAAAAACTGTCATAATAAGCCCTACTTCTTAGTTAATCACCAAGTAACGAAGTAACTAGCTGAAACAAGTAGATAACCAATCAATAAATTGATTGAAGGACTGACTGACGCTCTGACTGACATACAGACCGACGACGCTCTGATTGATTAAATGGCTGGCTGACTGGTTGACTTGCTAATTTTCCGGATGACTCTCTGACGGCTGACTGACTAACTGATTAACCAACAAACTCACTTACTCACTGGCTGGCTCGCTTACTGACTGAGTTACTTAAACATTTTTGAGTGAGCTCTTTTAAAGTTCAAAAAAATTTACCTAAGCCAACCAATTGACTGTCTTACTCTTTGGTTGGCCAATATAGTGAAAAGTCATAGCAAAAAATATAATTAATATGCTGAATATGTGTATTAACTGTGGAAGTATTAGCCAAAATTCCCCTTCCTCATTGTTATTCAATCACTCTTTAGTTCAACGAAGTCAATATTCCCTAAATATTGCACGATTTAGGGATGAACGTGTGCCGTGCACCGTTAATAGTGTTAAAATCACTGCAATTTTTTTTGTATTTTTATATTTATTTATTTAATTTTTTACAGTACACAGGAACGCTTAAAATTCATCGTGCAATATGTATCATGCAATATCTAGTAAAGACACATATTCAGCATAGTAGATATTCCTGTTTGTGACCTTAAAAGCCCCGAAATCACTTATAGTACAGCTGAGCTGCCTGAGGCTTGACTTATTCAATAACTGCTTGCTTAACTGACTGACTGATTGACTAGCTAACTAAATAACTGTCATGCTACCTCAACTTAAAATCAACCATGACCTTATGGGGAAAGGGTTCATTCTGTAGTGGAACCCAAACTATGAAACAAATTTCAATTACATATTCAGATAAATCGTCACAGGTAGCAGTTATTAAAACGAAGCTTAACACTAACCTGTTTGAAGATAGATTTGATTTGTTATTTTTAAAACGCAAGTCTTGTAAATTGTCTACATTTCTATGGTTTAGTACCATGGATACCTAATGGACTATAGTGCTAAAAAACGTCTTTTTTTAACAATTTTAATAATTTCCTATCATCAATTAGGACATAAGCAACCAATACATTAATCTTCGAGGCAAGACAACAGAAGTGCTGGACAGATTCGACGAACTCGGATTTCACTGTACGACACAGAATACAGGCTGGGCTCCAAAAGCCAATGCAGCCATTGGAAACCTGGATCGGCAGTGGGTCCGATGTAACCCTAATGAATTTCTGCAGAGTTTTGTACTGACCTTAGCCAGCAATTACGAAGAGGACATGGTTAGATATAAGTATAGGTGCTGCAGTCTTAATATCTGAAAGGCGATCACAGGAACCTTATACCTTGAAGGTTCGTTAAATATTATCCCCATTTAACCTCTTCAATTCCAGGAATGACCAATAGCTAATTTCTTCTTTCATTGTCAAAACAATATTAAACAGACAAGTGATGAGGATAAAAATTAATATCCACTAGGGTATTACTATTTAATCCAACACCAAATTTTTAGGACCATCATTATAAGAAATGTCTAGCAGACCATGAGGTGATTGCTCTGGGGATCTTTGGAATGAAAAGATTCATTTTAGGTAATCCAAATGATTTAGTTTTTGCTTTAAATTGTTTTCATTATTGATCCAAGAATTGCTTGAAAACAGGAACCTTATGCCTTGAAAGTACGTTAAATATTATCCCCATTTAACCTCTTCAATCCCAGGAATGACCAATAACTAATTTCTTCTTTCATTATCAAAACAATATTAAACAGAGAAGTGATGAGGATAAAAACAAATATCCACTAGGGTATTACTATTTAATCCAACACCAAATTTTTAGGGCCATCATTATAGGAAATGTTTAGCAGACCATGAGGTGATTGCTCTAGGGATCTTGGGAATGAAAAGATTCATTTTATAATTAGGTACTCTAAATGATTTAGTTTTTGCTTGAAATGGTTTTCATTGTTGATCTAAGAATTGCTTGAAAATCACACGGGAGTAGTTTGATACACAATATAATGTGAGGAAGATTCTTGGCAAAAAACATGGAGAACAGACGGCTGACATAGGAGAGAGGAAGGCTAAAAAAACCAAGCTGCTTTTTTAAAATTCTAGTTGAAATTATTATTGTTACATATACACATTTTCTAACTCGTTTATCAGTTATAGTATTTTAGTATGGTGATATCTCTCTTTGTACAATTACTGATTCTCTTTTTTTTGCTCTTTCTTTTCTTTTTTATTCTCTCTTCGAAACGTTACAATAACTGTTCTGATTAAAAAAAAAAGTAGATGCAAAAGTAAACCTACTGATATCAAAATAAAAGATCTCGCCACGTGTTAAAAGATAATAGAAAAAGATGATAACAATAATAAAAATATTATGTACATTATCATGTTCTAAAGGATAGTAGCAAATCGATGGATGTCACACATCACGCGTCACGCTCTTATTCTTCAGTCATGCGACTGAGATCTTCAACACTTGCGTTACTGGCAGTCTCCATAAAAGGTGTCACAGGTTCAGAGGGTGTCTTCGGGATCAACTGCTTTCTCAAGAATTCGACTTCTTAACTTAAAATTTGTCTTTGTAATCTAATAATAATAATAATTATAATCGTAATGATGAGAATAATAATAACAACAATAATAGGGACAACAAAACCATGAACACCAGCATCATCATGTTACCTTTCCAAACGCGGAAATTTCACAACTAAGCCTTATCTCTGACATAATTCAGTTTTGCTAACAAATCTGTTAGTTGTTTTGTTGTTACTGTTGTTGTTGTTGTTGTTGTCGTCCTTAATGGCCAGATCCAACCTAACTCGATCATAGGATCGAGTCATGGACGGCGCATTCTCCCCACCTGAATCTATTTATCTATTTATTTATTTTATCATTATTTATACACGTTAAAAAAATTCATCACGTAAAAAAAAAATTCCAATACAATGATTAATATCCTAAGAACCTACAAATCTTTATCCTAACATTATGTTAACTTACAACAATGTGTCACTTCAAAACCTGATTTCCATGAATGCCGTGTTTAAAAATTATGATAGAGAAGGCGTTTAAATTGGTTTAATGAACCAGACTCTCTAATGTTACAGTGTAAGCTATTCCAAAGGGTTGCGCCGCTGTTAACTAAAACTATTTTCATGTAGTTAGTTCTTGGAAAGGGGACAACAATTTTGTTGACTGAGCCCCTCAGAGAATAGCTAGATTCATTTCCCTTTATAAATTTAGACGAGAGATATTTGAGAACCAGACCGTAAAAATACATGAAACCACTAAGGCGTTCTGAATTTGACATTGAGATTTTACTAGTCGTCAGGAACACAAATTACAACAGGTGGGGAGGGGAGGAGGGGTATCGTAGCTGTATCACGGTCGATAACCTCGCTTAACTGTTAAGCTAGGACAAAACTAGTTTCTGTTTCGTAAACATGATGATTTGTAAAAAAGTTTGGCTTTTTAGCGAAATGTGATCTCTCCTCCATGGATTGCCGTTGAAAGAATAGTTAAAGTGGCCGTTCACAGTTTATTTTTAGACATGAACCTTAGGTTAATTCACACAACAAAACATGAATTTGCACGATATCAATTCTTTCAGGAAACCTACCTACATTTATACTACAGCCCGCCGTCAAGGAACAATGCGAATTTGATCATTCTTTTTAGATTCGTTGAATATCCTTTTCATGATCTCTGATACACATCACCAACATTCCACATGGAGACAGACTTCATCAATTTCTAGGAATTAAAGGTTTAAAGTTCTTGTAGCATACTATAAGTGCACAGATATTCCACAGCATAACATTTGAGAGATAAGTTACTGTTTTTGAATATTTACCAAAACAACTGATGTAAGAACATTCACAAGTTTGGTTCACAACTGTTATCGAACGACCCAATATAATATACTTTGAATGACCTTTAACACTCAAGCTCAAGGTTTGAATTGTGTTACTCCAACAAATATTAAGACCCATTCCCCGAACGATTTTTCAAAAGATGTGACTTTGACGAGGTGGGACATTCCTCACCAGACCTGGAAATGACAAGCGCTCTCCACTTAAAATTCATGATTTAATTTCGACCCAACTCCACTCTTCTCAACCTTTTGAGAAATTTTTGTTACATTTATTTTTCGCATTTTTGTACTTCGGTTTGTCTTAGTTTGTTAGGTTATAAAATTGATTTCAGTGTATTGTGTGGACCATTTTCTAGTTTTTTTTTTTTTTTTTACCATCTTCTGAATGTTTGACCGATTCTAGCTTATTAATGACATTGTCATCCACTCAACCGTTAGGAAACATTACCACTGATTGGTAGATCGGAGAGTGAGCAAAATTTTGCTGTAATGCTGTGCATATCTTCAAGGAACCACAGTTGCAATCACAATTTCTCGTCAAACTGTCACATTAATATATAACACTTGATGACCGTGGGGTGAGTGTAGGGAGGGGGGCGGTGTAAGACCATCAATGAACACCTGCCATATTAGATGAAACTAGATTAGCGAAATGTCACGTGACAAGTGAAGGTCCGCACGGAGGGACGGATACCACAGGTGGAAGCCCAGGGTAACACGGGGGCAGAGGTGAGCGGAAAGCGGGATCTATCTGATGGCGGGAAGGGTGACGGGAGAACTCAGTACAGGAAGTGAGAGGCTGTGACCCCTTGCACTCCCCCCTCCCCGCCTCCCCACTGGTGGTAAAGTCCTGATGCAAAAGGTTATCATACTTTGTCCACCAGAAAAGAGAAAAGACAAACATTAATGTCAACCGAGTTATTTCGTTTCACAGGGCCTCATGAAAAATACATATTGCAATAACTAGCAACTATTTTAAGGCATAAAAACCACGTCTTTGGCAAATAAAAAGACGCTGATTGATATCAGCGAGCCCGCAATATCCCATAAATATTAGTCAGAGGATTCTTTGGTGCAATAGTTGTCACCTAAACGTCTCAATGTAATGCACTAGCGCAGTTAAACGATTGCATTAAGGTTTATTACATTAAGGACTAAATGTTATTAAATTTAGGACTTTATTACATTTAGGACTTTTGCCTTCAACAACGGGAACCATTATCCTTTTCAGTTTGAAAATTTTAGTTGGAGTTGTGTTAAAAAATGGCGCGTTTTGACTGTGCGAGCCATTGTTTTCAGCCCAGCCATAAATAACAATACAATTTTCAGTAAGTACAGTAAAGTAAGCCTACCCCCGTACCAATATGTAATGGTGAAGAGAGCAGTATAATAGTTGGGGGTGGGTGCGCAGTTTCAAAAAACCTGCACGCCAACCACCTAACTATTAGTCTACAGGGAGATGTTCGAAGTAACCATGTTGCGCCAAAACAATATGCGCTCATATTTTTGTTTTTTTTATAAGATATATTAGTGTACATAAAAAATATTTAGACAGTGATTATAGTGATTATTAAGATGATAATAATGAAAGTCGTTTTTACACATAACAGTGAACTGTATGATAATGTTTATTACTTTGATGACCAGTGTAATGTAAGACACTTTACGGACAGTAATACATTGGAAGCAAAAGAGAATTTACAAAATATAAAAAACAATTTAAGGCAACCACTGCAGTGGTGATGAAAGCGATGCGGAACCCTTGCATATGTTGGACACCAACCCTGTCACAATCCGAAGGAGGCTAAACAGACGGCTACAGCCACTCTGGGACTAAATTAATGCCTAAGTGTTCTTTATTTACATAACTTGTATGTTTTGCCTTCTGTTTTTAATTCAGTTAATTTGACAGAATGGCAAGGTGGTTTATGGGTTTTGAAGTGAATGGTTCCTTTTTAACCCCAACTCACGAAATGTTTTTTTGCATATTGCATTAGCTGGTTTCACAAATTGAAAAATTAACAAATGACGCCACTCTCTCTCACTCTCTCTCTCTCTCTCTCTCTCTCTCTCTCTCTCTCTCTCTCTCTCTCTCTCTCTCTCTCTCTCTCACCTTGATTGGAACATAATCTGCCAGCTATCGCAAACAGTTCAAAAATCTGTGGGAAGAATCCTTAAATCAACTCAACTACATTTATTGTTGAAGTAGTATTAAATGTCCTGAAAACTTTTGTAAAAAATACTACAGTTTTGGATATGTCACAGTTAATTTTATTGGAATGATTTCAAACAAGCCTCTTGAATTATTGTACTCTTCAACAACTTTTATGGTTAAGAATTGGCTTTAAAAAGGCACTTTCGAGATCAGTAAATAACCAGAGGCCGCTAAGTTGTTAACATGGTTTGACTTGCTTAGAATTTATTGTAGTTTTTGATAAAATTTTATTA